ATATTTTTCTCTCTGTACACTCTTGATAGTTTTCTACATAATATATTATTCTCTCTCTACACCCTTGATAGTTTTTCTACACAATGTATTATTTTCTCTCTACACTCTTAATAGTTTTATCACACTATACACTATTTATTCCATAAACTCTAGCTAGTTTTTCACATTGCATATTTTTCTTCTCTGTACACTCTTGATAGTTTTCTACATAATATATTATTCTCTCTCTACACTCTTGATAGTTTTTCTACACAATGTATTATTTTCTCGCTAACACTCTTAATAGTTTTATCACACTATATACTATTTATTCCATAAACTCTAGCTAGTTTTTTCACATTGCATATTTTTCTCTCTGTACAATTTTGATAGTTTTCTACATAATATATTGTTTTCTCTCTACACTCTTGATAGTTTTTCTACACAATGTATTATTTTCTCTCTACACTCTTTAATAGTTCTATCACACTATATACTATTTATTCCATAAACTCTAGCTTGTTTTTTCACATTGCATATTTTTCTCTTTGTACACTCTTGATAGTTTTCTACACAATGTATTATTTTCTCTCTACACTCTTAATAGTTTTATCACACTATACACTATTTATTCCCTACACTCTTACTAGCTTTTCCACACAATATATTTTTTCTTCTTACACTCTTAATAGTTTTATCACACTACATATTCTTATTACTTGTTCACACACAGAGTCTAAATCTCGCACGAAATCGATGTCTTCGATGCAGACAAAGGGAACGAATTCCACCACTTTGGATTCAGCAAATAGTTCTGTGGTCGGGGTTAAAACTAAGTCCTCTGTGAACACCACTTGTTTTCCATCGTTAAATTCAGGAGCACAAAAGGAGATTCGCTGGCCCTGGATTACAAATTTAGACAAAAACAAGAATCTGTGGCAAGAAAGAGCACAAAAAGGTTAGTAGCAGTTTTATCATATATCTGATTTCCTTTTAAAAGAGCATATAAAGTTTAGTATATTTCATTAACCTTACATAATGTTATTTGAGAGACATACTCGGTAATTAAAAATCATAGTTCAGAGACAACGTGCTTAATTTGAGGAGATGAACGACGTTTCGAGTCATTTACATACTCCTTCATTCATAAGTACGCAAGTGACCCGAAACAGTAACAACCAGCTTCAGAACTGCCTGAGCAAGTTTTTGGTACAATTATGCAGTTTTCAACCTAATCTATATATTTGTTTGAAAATAAATGTACTGATAATTATTGAAATAATAAACAAGCTTTATTGTTATTTATCGACAGAGTGCCTCTATAAGTTAAATAATTGTTTGTGTCTGGATGAATCTTTTTCCATGAACAATATCATCATATCCATTTACCGTTTGCAAATGACTCCGCTAACTTGAGTTACACTTCTCTCCATAATTAATAGTACAAAACTTACAAGTAGTGGACCAGCAAGGGGATCTTCGGAAGAGAGCCTCCTCCAATCAAGTATTTCGGCCCTTTAACCCTTGACAACACATTATGGAGGTGTAGCCACACAAGATTGATCACAGCTAGTAGTCCCTTGCTGGTAACATTCTTTGAACCGGAAGTTGAACCCTGAACTTTGGATTATAATGAGCATGATTTAGTTTAGTCAGAAGTATTGAGTTTTTGTTTTGTTTTTTTAGCAAAGTAAACAGTACATTAATAAATATATTGAATCACGATAAAACGTACCAAAAATACATAACTAACATTAATATATTTCCTTTTTTAAAAAAGTTACAAGTATACTATCATTGATTAAAAATTGGACGCTGGTTGGCTGTGGTAGAGATCTGAATTTTGGAGCTGGCGAGCTGAGTTCAAATCCGTGCGATACCACGAAGTATTCCCCCCACTTTAAGTTGTGGGTGCGTTATAAGAATGAGAGTTAATTCCTTAGCGTGGGTGGTGTGTGTGGTGGGGTACTGCTGACAGGCTGCCATCCTTCTGGTCAGTAGTTCATAATGAGAGACGGCCACAGGTACCCTTAATTGTTTTCCCCTAAATGCAAAATACAAATTCATTAAAATCTTATGGCTTTCAACAATTAGTTCCTGTTTATCGAAAATACTTGCTGTGCTCCTTGTTTATTATCAAGAAAATTTCCGATGTCTCCACGTGTTTTTCCACTGTATGCAGGGTACTTTTTATTTATTGAGTTTCAGATGCTTCGCGATATTTTTTGTGTATTCAGGCTGATTCTGACAAGTTAAAGCACCTGCTTGTTTATTCACGCTGCTTCTGATAAGTCAAAGCACCTGTTTATGTATTCAGGCTGATTCTGACAAGTTAAAGCGTTTACTTATATATTCAGGCTGCTTCTGACAAGTTAAAGCATCTGCTTGTTTATTCACGCTGCTTTTGATAAGTCAAAGCACCTGTTTATGTATTCAGGCTGATTCTGACAAGTTAAAGCGTTTGCTTATATATTCAGGCTGCTTCTGACAAGTTAAAGCACCTGCTTGTTTATTCAAGCTGCTTCTGATAAGTCAATGCACCTGTTTGTGTATTCAAGCTGCTTCTGACAAGTTAAAACACCTGTTTGTGTGTTCAAGCTGCTTCTGATAAGTCAATGCACCTGTTTGTGTATTCAGGTTGATTCTGACAAGTTAAAGCACCTGCTCGTTTATTCAAGCTGCTTCTGATAAGTCAAAGCACCTGTTTGTGTATTCAAGCTGCTTCTGACAAGTCAAAACACCTGTTTGTGTATTCAAGCTGCTTCTGACAAGTTAAAACACCTGTTTGTGTGTTCAAGCTGCTTCTGATAAGTCAAT